GGGCGGGAGTGGAAGTTCCTGCCCCCGCCCCCCAGCTGCGCGAGCCTGGGGTGTTTTTCCTGAGGAATTTCTCAGGGGCCCCCCAGTGGTCCCGGTGGCCGCAGGACGGGTGACTCAGCGCTGACGCATGCCCAGCTGCGCGCATCTGGCCGGGCGCCGCGCCCCGCCCTGCGGGATCGGGGTGGGGGGATCCCCGGGGGTAGGGGGACGTCGTGGTTTCTCAAGTGGTGGACGACGGGGCTTCCCTGATCTGAGAGACCCCAGGCTAGGCTGTCCCGGGAATCCCTCTCTGAGGTGAGCTCAGTCCCCCCAACACACACACACACACCCACACACACCACACTTTCACACTCTCTCTTGAGCCTAGGGAGGTGCCTGCCCACGTGGATAATCCCAAATTGGCCTATGCCCCGATTCCCACGCTTACACATGCACATGGTCGTGCAATCTCAGGCGTCCACTGAGCATATAAGCCCCCTGGGACACCAGGAATGTGAAACACAGAGCCCACGCCCTGGCAACCCCGTCAGCCACCCGCCACAAGGTCACAGCTTTTGTCACCCTCTTACACTTTCAAATTCTCACACAGGCTTCCCCTGGTATCCATACAGACACGGTCAACATTCACAACCAGTCATCCACTCGCTGACTTGGTCACACTGTCACATAGAACCATGCTTCCCCATCCGGAGTCTGAGCTATGACAATCACAGACCTACCTGTGCAACCTGCATGACAGCAGTGTTGCTGCCAGGGTCCCCAGTCACAAGGACACACAGCCACATGTCAAAAAACTGCACCTAATACCTCCATCATGGGGCAAATACTAACACTGGCACCTCAACAACTCACGCCCAGCCATTCCCTGGTCCATTCAGTCACCCAAACTTACACATATTTGCACACACATTTACACCTACGCTTTCCCACACACCTGGGGGATTCCAGCCATGTCCCAGTCTAGTCCCTGCCTGCCTCCATCCACATCCTAGACCCCACCCCAGATCTCCCTGGGGGCCTTGACCAGTGCAGGGGAGAGTGTGTGGGGGAAGGGTGGGCTGGGCCCCTGACAGACCCGCACCCCCTGGCCCTGCAGGCAGAACTCAATGCCTCTTGTGTGTCTCCTTGTCACAAAGCCAGTCATGCAAAGAAAGGGCAGTCAGTTTCTGAAAGGTCATTGCAGAAGGGACACAAGATTGAAGCAGGAGACCTTTGGGTTAGATGCTGGGAAGGACTTGTTAAACATGAATGAACAGTGCTGCAGGGAGACCCCTTCCCATTGCATAGAGTCTGGGGTCTGGGCTGGGTAAGAACTGCCATGCTGGGTGAGGTCATGGATCTCAGGGGACAGGGGGCAGCTGGGATGCTTGTTCCAGGGGAAGTGACCCTTGTGGTGAGCAGAGCCTGGGAGCCCAGATCTGATCCCAGGGGGCTGTAACCCAAATGACTCTTAATGACAGCCCCGCCACAGAACAGGCAATTAGAGATGGGGCCTGGGGGTGGTGGTGGGGATTGGGGGGAGAGAAAGAGCCAAATACCAAGAGACAGAGCCAGAGAGAGAGAGAGAGATTGATTCAGAGTTGGACACAGAGGGAGACCTGGAAAGACCAGCACAGAAAGTGGGACAGAGAGGGTGGGGAGGTGGAGAGGAGAGAAAAAGAAAGAGCAGAAGGACTTGGGGGACAAGAGGGAACAGAGGCTGGAACAGGGCTCAGTGGAATCTGGAGAATGAGAGATCTGACCCAGGCAGAGCTGGGATGGGGTTTCCTCATCCAAGCCCCCACCTCCCCCAAGCCTGGCCCCCCACTCCAGCTCCCAATGGTGAGGTTAGCAGAGCCGCCCCCGGGGGTGAGGTCATGGCAGATTCAGCAGAATCTAGCTCCTGCCAAGAGGCTGGGGCAGGGGGTCAGTGGGACAGTCTGCCGAGAGTGGGGGGGAGGGGAGATCAGGCAGGGGCTTTGGGGGGCCCTCCCACCCCTGCCCAAGCCATGTGGTTCCACTTAGCACTGGCCGGGCTGCCTGGGGTGGGGCTGGTAGGATGGCCTAGATTAGGATCTGGTTCGACCAGACGAGTCCCTACTTTTGCTGGGATGAGAGAGGGAGAGGGTCAGAGGCAGGAGGTCAGATGGAGGAGACTGGCATAGACAGAGGTCGGAGGTCAGAGGGTAGTCAGAGGGAGGAGGTTGGGGTCAGGCAGAGGAAGGAGACCAGAAAGAGAAGTGACTGGGGATGGTCAGAGGAACAGTAGTCCGAGGGGGGAGATCTGAAATGGCAGGAGTCAGAGGGAGGGGTCAGGGGCAAGAGTCAAGGAGGAGGTCAGAGTGAGGAAATGGCAGAGGGACCCACAAAGGAGCCCCTCCTCTCCACACGGGTTTCCCCTGGCAAGGGGGCTCCAGGCGGGTGGGAAGCAGCCCCAGGGAGCCGACGTGGGGGAGTGGGGAGAAGGGGACCGTCTGGCTCTGGGGCTCAAGCCAGGAAGTTTTGATTCATCCCAGAACTAGGTCAGCTTTTTTCTCACCAAAAAACTAAGGGAAAAAAACAGGAGTCAACAGGCGGAAGAGGCCGGAACATCTGTGGAGTGGTGGGGGGCGGGGGGCAGTTGCTGGTCCCAGGCCTGCTCCTTCCTCCTGAGCCACAAACACAGTGGGGGCGGGGCGCTGGGCCCCAAACCTGGGCCACTAGCATGGAGTCCTGGGCTGTTCTAATTGCACCTTCCACCTGGCTTCTCTCTGCAGCAGAACCTGTGGATGTGTTGAAGGCCCTGGGCCTGCGGGGGGGCCAGGCTGGGGTCCCCGAGGGGCCTGGCTTCTGCCCCCAGAGGGCTCCAGAGGGCGATCGGGCATTCAGGGTGGGCGAGGCCAGTGTGCTCAGCGTCCCCACGTGGGAGCTCTTTCCAGGTGAGTTGGGGCAGGAGGGGCTGGGGGTCATCCTGGGGGGGGAAGCGTGGGTCACAGTGGGGCCATCTGAGCTGCTCTCTTCCCTCTGCCCACCCAGATGGGCACTTTCCTGAGAACTTCTCCGTGTTGATCACGCTGCGGGGCCAGTCAGCCAATCAGGCTGTTCTTCTGTCCATTTACGATGAGAAGGGTGGCCGGCAGCTGGGCCTGGCACTGGGGCCGTCTCTGAGCCTCCTGGGTGGCCCCTTCAGCCCCCTCCCCCAGCAGGTCAACCTCACAGATGGCAGGTGAGCATAAGGGAGGGTGAATGGGGGTCCATGGAGGGGTGGGGCGAGAAGCACCCCCACTGAGGCTATCCCATTGCAGGTGGCACCGTGTGGCGGTCAGCATAGATGGTGGAATAGTGACCCTGGTGATTGACTGTGTGCCTCAGCCCCCTGTGTTGGGCCAGGGGTCTCCATTCATCAGCACAGCTGGACTCACCGTACTGGGGACCCAGCACCCCTGGGAAGAGACTTTCAAGGTAGGATTTCAGTGATAGGGGAAACTGAGGCAGAGGGCAGGAAGTTGTGTCCACAGCCTAAATCTGGAGAAGGGATTGGAGAAGGGAGATGTCAGGCTTCAACCTAGTCCCAGGAAGCCGAGGGAAGGGAGTCCCACGCTTGTGTGCATCATTGCGGTGTGCCATTGTGAGATTGTAGAGCTGTGAGAGGCGGCGATGTGTGATGGCGCATGCGTGGCCTGTTGAGGGAGGACACTGCTGTGGTGTGGGACTGAGACTGTGACCTGAGACGGTGTTGGTTGCTGTGATGGTTTGAGATTGTGTGCAGGGTGGTTGTGACATTGGGGACCGGCAAGGCACGGTGTTATGTGGCTGTGACAAGTGTGTTTTTAGTGTGGTGACTGTTGTTGGTGGCTGTGGGGTATGTGATTGTGAAGTGTGTCACCTGTGTCCTCCTTATCCCCAGTATCTCGAAGGGCACTTGGCACATAGTAGCTGCTCACCATGTGCCCGAGAGCAAAGAAACACAAGTGCACCTTTGTTGGGACAGATGTTATGGGGTGAGATTTGTGGCTGTGACTTTGTGACCCTGATATAGGATCTTCCCTTCTCTTAGTTACAGGTGGTAGGGATAGGGTTGGGGCTGTGACCCCTCCTTAAACTTAGGGTGCTCTGGGTGGGGAAACACCAAGGCTGGGTGGCAGGTGATGGGCAGGGCTATGCCAGGGAATTGGGGTCAGAGTGAATCTATGTCCCCCTTCCCCTACCCGCCCTCTCCCAGGGAGACATTCAGGAGCTGCTGATAAGCCTGGATCCTCAGGCTGCCTTCCAGGCCTGCGAGCAGTACCTCCCTGGCTGTGACAACCTGGACCCCATAACCACAGGGGTGAGTGAGGGGCTGTGTTACTCCTGACCTGAGGTCACAGACTGAGTCATCCCTGGTGCCAGATCTCAGGAAGGGGTGAATTCTGACCCCCAAGCATGGTCTGAGTAACCCCTGACCTCAAACAGATCCCAGTCACAAGAGACCTTGACCTCTCAGCTCACATAAATGAGTGACCTTGACTCAAGGTCATACGACTGACCTTGACACCAGGTCAGGGCTTGGCTTCAAAACGCAGGACCAATGGACCATGCACCAGCATGGCCCCAGGTGATCTGAGAGATGCAGTCTCTAACCCAGGGATGCTCTAGAACTGATGGAAGTCCTCTTCCCAGGCCCCCCAGGGTGGGACAGAAACCCCTCCTCCCCGACGACGCAAGGGGAAGGGAAAAGGGAAGAAAAAAGGGCGAGGTCGCAAGGGAAAGGGCAGGAAAAAGAAGAACAGGGAAGCTTCGACCTTGAGACCACCTCCTGAGAACCAGGTAAGGGACCTGCGACCTCTCACTTTTGTTCTTGACCGCCTGACTTCCGGCCTCAGATACCCACTGCTCTCTGGCCCTCATCTGTGGTCTTTGTCTCCAGTCCCTGAGCTCTGACTTCCTCAGCTGACTGATGACTGTCAGGATGCGGGGTGGTCCTGTCTTATGAGCTCTCCCATCTCTGCCCTCCCAACCTTCAGTCCTGGGGGGCTGGAAGGAGGGGGCATGCCCAGATGTAGGCGACTGTTTAAGGGGAGTCATTAATTGGGGTGAATGATGGGTGCTGACTGATGACTGTCAGGATGCGGGGTGGTCCTGTCTTATGAGCTCTCCCATCTCTGCCCCCCCAACCTTCAGTCCTGGGGGGCTGGAAGGAGGGGGCATGCCCAGATGTAGGCTACTGTTTAAGGGGAGTCATTAATTGGGGTGAATGATGGGTTTACTAGTTAGTGTGTCATTGTTTGGGGTTCACTGTTGGGGTCATCGGTGAAGGTTATTCATTGAAGAGAGTCACTAGCTGGGGGCTCTCTTTGGCCTCTCTGATAGGGATTGCTGGTTGGAGGATCACTGAGGGAAATATGGGTTGAGGTCAATGTTTGGAGTATTCCTAGTTGGGGTTGCTGTTGGCGGTCATCGATGGAACCCACTGTTGGTGTAACCGATGGCCTTAGTTTAGGGTTAATGGTTGGGGGTCATTAACTGGGGGGTTGTTGGTGGAGGATCCTTAATTGGAAGGCATAGAGGGATTACCAATTGGGGTCACTAGTTGGAGGAGTGATTTTTGGAGTCATAGTTTGGGAGTCCCTGAGGGGTTATTAGTTAGGACGTCATTGATGGGTCATTGGTGGGGAGCATTTGTTGGGATCACTTATGGATATTTGTTGTTGAAGAATTACTGGTTGGGGAAGTAATGGATTAGGGGTCACTGGTGGGTCTTATTAAGTTGGGGAGTCACTAATTAGTGCTTATTTTTAGGAGGGGTGTCACTGGTTGGGGGCTTTGGTTGGAAAGGTCACTGGATGGGAGAGTAACTGGTTAGGGCCATTAAGGGGAGTCATTAATTGTGCGGGGTAATCACTTATGGGTCACTGGTTGTAGGAATAATTGGGGTCTGTTGATGTGGGTCATTTGCTGGTGGGTCACTGGGTAGGAGTCCTTGGTGTGGGTCCTTGGTTGGGGAAGGGAGGTCACTGGTTGCACTACATCTCAGTTCCAGATCTTTCTGGCCCCGAACATGGACACCAGGAGTAGTGTGCCCCTTCCGAGCCCTTTCCTCAGCCCTGACCCATCACTTGGGTTCCCACCACCTTCTTCTGCCTTGATCCAGTTCCTCTGCAGCTGTCCAGGCCAGAAGGACACTCCCTCTCTGATTGTGGCCTGGCTGGCTTACCACTGAACTCTGGCTTGGGAGAGGACATGTGGGATAGGCTTCCGGGAGACTGGCCCTGAGTGCTAGACCTTGACCTTAACCACTGGACTCTGGAGCCAGCCCTGCTCTGCCTTGCAGGCCTCCAGGGCCTGGCCCAGGCCTCTGCTCCTCCTCCACACGTGACAGCTCCCCCTGCTGGCTTCCCTGCTCCAGCCCGCGCTCCTTGGCCTCCACTGTCCCCCAATGTTCTTTGAGAATCCTTCTCTGTCCCTCTGCATGGGGGCAAAGCCTGTCTCCTCCTTTGCCTCTCTTTGGTCTATTTCCCCCCCTTTATTTGGCATCTGGCTGGGAAGAGGATCTGAATCCTTGACCTTGGCGTTATCAGCACCACACTCTAACCAAGTGAGCCACCGGCCAGCTCCCTTTTGTCTTCATTGGCCTGAACCCCTGTCCTGATACTCTCTCCATCCCTGCCCCAGACCTCCACTGACATCCCCAAGACAGAGACGGCAGCGCCAAATCTGCCTCCGACTCCCACGCCTTTGGTCATCACCACCACTGTGACGATTGGCCACAATGTCACCATCCTAGAGGTCAGTGGGAAGTGGACAGGGCCGGAAGGGGGAGGTCCTGGGTGGTGGTGGTGGCAGACAGTAAGGAGCTCAGCAGCTAACTCTGGTCTGTCCCAATGTCCTCAGGGGGGCCTGGACCCTGACAATGGAACTGAACTAGGGGTCCCAGAGACTGAAGCAGCCAGAGGAGATGAAGAAAGTGGTGACCCCACCCTGAGCCCCGACTTCCGGGCAGCAGAACAGCCATCTTGGGTTAATTTCCAGATCTTTCCTGTGAGTCTAGGTGGCTGGATTGGTTGCAGAGGAAGGGACTCCTACCTGGAATGACATGGGGCACATTCTCTCTCTTGACTCGTATTAGTCTTACCTAGAATGCCCTCTCACCACCCCAGTGCAGTCAAAAAATATTTATCGAGTACTTAGGGTGTGACAGGCCCTGTGCTAATGAATGCTCAGTGGGGAGGGGATGCGTTCGGCTTTTACTCTAAGCACAATGAGCAGCCACTTGCGATGGAAACTGTCATCTGCCCTGGGGCTTTTAAAGCTCCCTCTGCCTGCTGAACGGCATATGGACGGTAGCGGCACCGGAGTGGTAGCCCAGGCGGTGACCTCGCAGAGGGTAATGGCGGTGGAGATGGAGCCCAGTGGGCTGATTTAGATGCATGTTGGGACCATTGAGTAAGAGGGGGGACTTCTGACAGAGAGCAGGTGGGAAGTCAAGAATCTCATTTCGGATGTGTTAAATCAGCAACATCTGTTAGGCATCCAAATGGAGAGATGTCAAGCGAGCAATTGCTTAGAAGATTCTGGAGTTCAGGAGAGGTGGCCTGGGCTGGAGATAGACTTGGGACTCTTTTCAGCAGTAAAAAGCTAAAAGAATTCAAGGGATTGTATGAAATTACCTAGAAGAATGCAGACAGAGAAGGGTCTTGGTGTCGGACAGGGGAGGAGGCAAAGACTCGTAACTAACGTACCCTGAGTGCTTGTTATGCACCAAGCACTGTTTTGAGTCATTCATCTTCGCATGGGACATACACAGCTGTCATCCACCCACCAGCTTTACAAGTGACCCAGTTACCTGTAAATGGCCCTAGGAGTTAAGTTCCCGGCATCGCTCAGTAAAAGACAAATCCAGGAGTAGGATCCAGCTCTGGAGTTCATGCCCTTCACCTTGACACAGACTTGCCATGTTCACGTGGGAGGCTGAGCTTCTTTATACACAGTGGAGACAGGATAGCTCTGAGGTTGGACCTGTGTGTGCGTGTGCGTGATCGCACGTGGGTGGATGGGGGATGGCTGTGCAGTCGGGTAGCTGAGGATTCTGTGTCCAAGTCACATCTCTTTTCTCTCTATCCTATGCCCCAGGGCACTGGAAAGAAAGGGGAAAAAGGAGAACCCGCAGTGATTGAAGAGGTCAGTGAGGGGCCTGGGGCTGTGGGGTGAGGGTCCTGCCTAGAATAGGGGTCACACTCATTTCTCCCTTCAGGGACAGCAGTTTGAGGGACCTGCAGGAGCCCCAGGACCCCGCGTGAGTCATGGCTGCAATCCCCTCTGCCCATCTTTTGCTTCTAGCTGGGGGTTGTTTCAGCCCCTGGGGTGGGCACGTGCACCATAGTGGTGCCTGATCATGTGGAGGCTGTTGGACATTGGAATCAAAGGATAAGTCAAAATAGGGGCAGGGGGTAAATTTGAGGGTTGATGTGGGTCAGTGGAGCATGGCAGGGAGCAGAAATGTCTCAGTGGTGTGGTAGGGAGGTTGGCCTGGGATGAGGGTCCATGGTGGGTTGGAAGTCAGCTTGGCTCAGACTGTTTCTTTGTCCCCAACAGGGGGTGGTCGGCCCCTCAGGCCCTCCTGGCCCTCCGGGATTCCCTGGGGACCCAGGTCTACCGGTAAGAGCCCCCCTGGGGTGTATCCTTCTGGGGGGAGTGAGGTTTCGGGTTGGAAGCATGAAGGTCTGAACATGGCTCTGGGGGACTTGGGCTAGGGACACCATTGGGGGCTGGCACTGACCCCTTCTGCCATCTCTCTCCCTCTCTGTGGACTATCTTTCTGGCTCCCCTTCTGTCTCTGGGGGCCTATCCCCTGATTTTTCCTCCCTCTGTCTCCCTCTGTTTCTGAGTGTCTTTTATCTCTCTTTCTCCCTATGTCTCTGGGTCTCTGTCTCTTTATCTGTCTTCTGCCTCTCCCTCTCTCTCTCTCTCTGCCTCTCTCTCTCTGTCTCTCTCTGTCTCTCTCTCTGTCTCTGCCTCTCTCTCTGTCTCTCTCTCTGTCTCTTTCTGTCTCTGCCACTTTCTATGACTCTCTCTTTCTTCCTCTCTCCATTTCTCTGTCTTTCCCTCTGTCTGCCTCTGTCTCTTTCCCTGCCTCTGGATGCCTGTCTCTCTGTCTACGTCTGTCTGTCTCTCTGTCTCTCCTTGTGTCTTTCCATTTCTCTGCCTCCACTCTCTCTATCTCCTTTGTCTCTCCCTTCCTGTCTCTCTGTCTCTTTCTCTCCCTGTCTCCATCTGTCTGTCTCCATTCCTCTCTGTCTCTCTCT